ATTGAAGCCTTCGATGTCGAAACCTTCTCTGGCACGGCAAGGAGGTCAAACCAGAGACTGCTCGCAAGTTCTGCTGCATGCAACAAAGCTTGGATCATCGCTTCCCTGGATATCAACATGGCTTTCTTGAAGGGACTGACCTATAGCGAGCTCGCCGCGGCAACGGGCGAGAAAGAGCGTGTGGTGTGCTTCACACTACCTCCTGGGTCAGCAGCTGTCCTTCGCACACTGCCAGGCTTTGAGTCATATGACGAATCAAAGCATTGTCTTCGGTGTCTGAAGCCGGGGACGGGCACGAAGGATGCTCCCAGGGCATTCTCGTTGAAGCTCAGGTCCATCACTAGGAGCTTTGGACTACAGCCTACTTCATACGACGAAGAGTTCGAGATGAGCTCAAACCTCTTGACAGCCAAACACGTCGATGACATCAATATGACTGGGAAGGAAGATGCTATTGACAAGTATGTCAAGTGTGTTGAAGATACGTTTGGAAAGTGCAAACTGAACAAGCACACATACACAAACTGTGCCGTTCGGTACAACAAGACCGATGATGGGGGCGTCACTCTTGATCAGGACGAATACATCAAACAGCTTCGTCCTATCACACATCCAGAACTCACAGGCGCTGATCCTGAGAGCAAAGCGACAAAGACGATTTCTGATATGTTCGTCAGTCTTCGTGGCGCTCTAGCCTATGCGTTGATCACGCAGGTATGGCTGATGGTCTATGTTGTCTCACTACAACGTATCCAGGAACCGACAAACATCCAGGTACGACGACTAAACGCGGTTACCAGGAAATTGCAGGCAGGTCCGAAGAAGATCGTGTATCAAGCTATGACTCCAACAGGAGAAGTCGACCTGCATAGCGATTCTGGCTATCGTCGTCTCAACGGAGATGAAGACGACGAAGTCAAAGGCTATGGTATCCGCGGGGCTAACCTGCTGAGGCGTGGCCACACGCAAGCGGGGAAACCCGTCGTGCACCTGGTGGACGCATACTGCAAGTCTCATCGACTGCAGGTGCGTTCGAGCTACTCTGCGGAAACACTGGCAGCAGCCCACAACTTGGAAGACTGCTACCCGACCATTGTAACGCTCCACGAGCTACACTCGGGACCATTGACCCCCACACAGTTAAAGAAATATTGGAAATGGGTGGTCTATGTATCAAAGTCACTCTGACTATTGATGCCGAGTCTGTCTTCAAGTCTTTGTCTAGCAAAGATCTGAAGAAGCCCACAGAATGTACTCTGCTTGGGCACATTAGCTGGATCCGCCAGATGATGGAGCGCGGAATCGTTGAAAGCGTTCAATGGTGTGACACGCGGGATATGACTGCCGATGGTCATACCAAAGGTAGTATTGACCGCGCGTTGCTCCTACAAGTAATGGCCGGCCAGCAATCCTTCAAGCACGAGCTGAAGAAACATACTCCGTATAGGGCGGGCAGGTCGTCTCAGGACGGCCCTGCCTCCCGAGCTAGCGGGGAAACCCGCGTGCAGGTGCGCTCTAGTAGCGAGGAAACTCGCCGGTAGCGAGGCTACTCGCGCGCCCTTGCCTTGTAGGCAGCCGCTGTTGCCTAGCACTGTTTTTCCGTGTAATGTAGAAGTGCGGTGCTTGCTCGTCTCCTCCCCCTCCGACTTTAAACGGAGAAGGTTAAAGGCGAGATGTATATATTGAGCATGCACCGCTGCCGTGCCTGGCTCAAGCCGGGCCCGGCCTAATATGTGATTGTGCCTCACCGAGGCGCGCGACTTGTATCTGAGATCGGAAAATACCTTTTCCATTGACGATGCCCCTTCTATCCTTTACTCCAGATCCCATGCTTCGTCTCGCTCTCTTGCTCATGCGATATGAGCCAAAGCCTGGGATATGGGAGCGCCTAAGGCGGAACATATATCTAAGCCTACCAGTGCGTTTTCGACTTCTTGGCCCGTCTTGGAGGCGACTTGGGGGCCTCTTGTGCCGTCTTGGGCCATCTTGAAGCCATCTTAGGCCGTCTGCAGTGCGTCTTGGGCCATCTTGGAGGCCTCTTGGGGGCCTCTTACGCCGTCTTGGGCCATCTTGAAGCCATATTAGGCTGTCTTCGGTGCGTCTTGGGCCATCTCGGAGGCATTTTCAGGCAATCTGAGCCGTCTTGGACGCCATCTTGGCCGTCTTGGAGGCCTCTTGGGGCCCTCTTGAGGCCGTCTTGGGGGCCTTCTTGGCCTTGAAGATAGTTTATCGGGTTGGCCTGTCAATTTGATGATCCGCAACCGTTGGCTCTAATCAGCCGCGCGAGCCGGTAGTTCGCCCCTCTATGGAGTGGGCGAGGGCTGCCGCTGCTGGCGCCGGCGGCTTGGCACACCTGGGCAGCCTGTGGTACGGCCAGCGCTGTACCTGCCAAGTCGAGTTGGGAGACGGTTTCTCGGTGGACCGTGAGCTGCTGCGCCTGCTGGAAGGGCAGCTGCAGAGGTGCGGGCCCGCCAACCTCACGGTGCCGGCGCCGTGCCCGCCCCCAGAGTGCTCGGGCTATCCTTGGCTGGTGGTCCTCTTGGTGGCGGTGCTGGCTTTCCTGGCAGGGTTCGCCGCTGCTGCCTCCTGTGGCTGGTGGTGCTTCAGTCGCTCGGAGGGTCGTGCCACGTCTGAGAGCTCAGAGACTCCGTACCTGACCGACGGAAGCGATGTCAGAGCATCTTCGTCAGGGCCAGCGAGTGCTCGTCTCTTACGACGAGGACCCGCGCGAGCTGTTGTGGCATGAGCGCCTTCTGTGCGCGCACGTGCACGAAGGCTCCTGGGTGGTGACCACACCCGAGAGAGACATGTATCTCGAGGACCTCCAGGATTGCGTCGAGAGCCTCGTCTTGCTGGGTCCCATAGGAGGCCTGCCGATCGGGTGGAACCGTGGGCCTACACACCTGTTCAGGAACTCGTCCCAGGGCCCGCTGCGCCGCGAGGAGAGCTTGCGGCTCCAGGCGGATGGCGCGGAGCTGGCCCTGCAGGAGGAGGCGCGAGCTGGGCCTGGCCGCTTCTCCGCCGCTGCCGCCGCCCACGGGCGCGCCCCCGCCGCTGGCGCTGGAGGGCGTGCCGAACTCGGGCGATGGGGGATGGCGGTGCTCGGAGAACCGCGGTGGTGCTCGGCTGGGCGAGCGCGTCGGCGACGCGGAGCTGGAGGCAGGCTGCCATCGAGGAGATCGTGGAGTGGCCCTGGTTGGCGACGTCTTCGTGGCCTGCGCGTTCTTCCGGCCGGGCCAGCAGATGCCTACGCCTAGGGAAGTGGAGGCGGCGGAGCCTGTGTCCAACGAGCTGCGCACCCTCCCGGTGAAGTACGAGACGGCCAGCCAGCGGCGTCGCTCCTACAAGGAGGCCGCATCGCTGACCACGACGACGGCGTTCGAGGACTGGCCGATCAGCGGCCCGAGGACGGCGGAATGGCTGGCGCGGGAGATCGCTCGGCAGGAGCTCACGCCCGTGCGCCGCCACTTCTGGTGGAGACAGCTGCTGGGCTTGGGCCCCAGCGATTGGGGCGTCGGAGAGCACGAATCCTTGAGCCGGCTCTTCGAGTACGCTCTGACGTACGACCAGCTGAACTTCGGCGAGCTGGCGTCGCTGGAGCTTGCAGGCAGGCGATGCCAGCTGCTCGAGGAGAGGTACGCCCGCATGCTGATCGCGGCGACGGCGGGTGGCGACAGCGGCCACCTCGACAACGACAGGCTGTTCATGGGCGAGGAGGGCCGCCATGGCCGCGCGCTTGTGGCGCCTGCCCTAGAGCCCTGGATCTCCCAGAAGCTGTCCGAGGAGAGCGCGGCGCTCAAGGAGCGCCGCAAGGCGAAGGAGGAGCGGCAGCTGGCCCGCTCGACCGATGTTGCTCCAGGCGTTGGAAGCGGCAAGAACGACGAGAAGCCCCCCAGGCGCCCGAAGAAGAATGGTGGCGGGCCGGGGGGTGACGCTGCTTGAGCTGCCACGGGCGGCGGAGGCCCCCGGCCGCCGCCCATTCTGCAGAGGGGAGGGCTGCCCGCTTGAGGAGGATGGCGGGCCGCCTCGGTGTTGCAGGTGAAGGCCTAGACTGGGCTCGGGACTTGCTGCCGCTGCCATCTGGGCGCTGCCTGGCTGATCTCCTGGAGGGACTCTCGCCAGCTGGCCTGGGTGTGTCGCGCTGCGCGGATCGGCGGCGCTCGCGCCGACGGGCTGCCGAGGCGCGGCTGCAGGACGACGCTCAACGTGCTGGGCGGCCGCGGCGAGGAGTGGGGCCCCAAAGTGCTGCCAGGTGCTACCCAGCGCCAGGCTGTGGCCAGCTTGGCCCGGGCCTACTTTGCCGTGCCGCCGCCGCCCGACGACCTCGCCGCCTCGGGAGCATGGTCTGCGCTTCGGGGCTGCGGTTCCGGCTACGCCGTTGCAGGTGTTGTCGCCGGAGAGTTCGCGACCTACCAGCGCGGCAGGCTTGCCCTGCCAGCGGTCGGTAACCAGGCGATCGACCTCGTCAGTTGCCTGCCCGACCACTACCAGAAGTTGCTGGAGGATAGTGGCCGCGCTATTCGGCTACCAGCAGTGTGTACAAAGGACGTGGCGGCAGAGGTGGACGAGTTGGGCCCTGCGATGGATCCCATCCTGGCTAGGTCGCCCAGCAAGTACGCCGAGTTTTTGATGTCTGCATACGAATCGGGCGTCGTCGAGCCGGCGACTGAGGTTCGCAGTTTTGTGGGAGTCTTCTTTGTGCGTAAGAAGGACGGCTCGTTGCGGATCATCTTCGATCCTCGAAAGACGAACTCGCAGTTTGTACCTCCAGATAGTGTTGCTCTGGCTTCCCCTGAGGCCCTGGGTGATCTAGGCCAGCGGTTGTGGGTCAGTGAGGGCGATGTCGAGAACTGCTACTACCAGTTCCTGCTGCCTGACGACCTGACCTGAGGGCCGACTTCGCGTTACCTGCGGTGCCTCGGAAGCTGCTGCCGCGGAGTCTGCGCCGCTTGTTTCCGCCTGGGGACGACTTCGTTCACTTCCAGGTGCGCGTGGTGCCGATGGGCTGGAGCTGGGCCGCGGCGCTGGTGCAGGCGGCGAACGGGGAGCTGCTGCCAGCTGGTCCGCAAGTGGCCCGCCGCTGGATCTGCAATCGCCGCTGCGCGCCTGCGGTCGCCGGGCGTGAGCCCGCTGCTCTCCTGTGCATCGACAATTTCGCCTCGCTGGGGACCGTAAAGGAGACAGTCCAGCTCGACGGCGACTCGATGGAGAGGCAGCTGAGGGGACGCGGTCTGACTACTCACGACATCTCGGGGCCGCAAGTTGACGTGGACCTGCTCGGGTTCCACATCGACGGGGCGAGGGGGGCGATTCGCATCGCGCCCGAGCGGTTCTGGAGGCCGGTCATGAGTCTGGACTACATCCTGAAGCACTCCCTCCTGACGGGAGCCGAGCTAGAGCGGCTGATCGGGCATTTGACGCACGTGCTGCTGCTGCGGCGCGAGGTGCTCAGCTTGCTCAGTGCATCCTACGTCTTTGTCAGCAAGTGCTACACTCGGCGCGTGCGGCTCTGGCCTTCGGTGCGCCGAGAGCTGACCTGGATGCGAGCGCTGCTGCCGCTGGCGTGGGCGGATCTGCGCGGCGCCTGGGCCCCCAGCGCGATGGCCGTGGACGCCTCGATGACTGGCTTGGGCGCGGTGGGGCGCTCCGCGGACCCACGCGACGTCGGGCGCGTCGGCCGAGATAGAGAGCGCTGGAGGTTCAAGGAGCACGAGCTGGTGGCCGAAGGCTCGCGTGCACGCGCCTTGCGTGAAGGCGCCGTCGGCGACTCCCCGTTCCCCGACGTGCCGTCGGACTTCTGCAAGGCCGCCTCGTGGAATACCGTGGCTTCGAGACGGTGGCGCCATCGTGCCCCCATCCACCTTCTGGAGGGCGAGGCGCTGCTGTGGGCCATGCGGCGGCAGGTGCGGCGAGTGGCGCATCATGGGTGCAGGCTTCTCTTTTTGTCAGACAGCATGTGTATTTGCTGTGCAGTTGCAAAAGGAAGAGCCTCGGACTTTCCCATCCTCGCTCAGTTGAGACACTTCGCAGCTCTTCAGCTCGCATCGTCTTGTCGCGTGTCAGTGCGATGGATTCCTTCAGAGTGGAACCCCGCCGACGGTCCTTCAAGGCAGTTCGAGCCTCGCCGTTTGCGGGGCGATGGAGCGCCGTCGGCTCGTGGCGGCCGCGCCGAGTGCGCAGCCGCTGCCTGCTCCGAGTGCGCCGGCGAGCGGCCATGGGCGGGAGCGCCTCCTGGGCTCGCCGGGCCGCGCGCGCTCGGGTCAGGCGAGGGCCATTGCCAAACGCCCCCGGCCCGCTGCCGCGACCCGGAGGTCGACAGCCTTGCCGTGGCACCGCCTCCTGGGCTCGAGCGTGTCAGGACTGGAGCTGGAGGCGGTGAGGCCCTCTACTCAGCAGAACTACCTGAAGTGCCTCAGTGGCCTCTGCAACTGGCTCGGAGCGGAGACGCTGCCCAGCTGGAGCGCGCTGGAGTGGGACGACGCACTGCTGCAGTACCTGAACGACGAGTTCGCGCGGGGAGCGCGGCCGAACAGGGCTGCGAAGCTGTTGTCGGCGGTGCTCTGGGCGCGACCGGCGCTGGGGCGGCCCCTGCGGGTGGTGTTGCCGAGGAGCAGCCGGGCGCTGCTGGGCTGGATGCGCAAGCGGCCTGGCCACTCTCGGCCGCCGCTCTCTTGGCTGGTGCTCTGCGGCGTGCTGGAGCTCCTGCTGCTGAAGCGGGAGGTGGCGATGGCGTGCGCTCTCTGCCTCATGTTCCACTGCCACCTTCGGCCCGGAGAGCTCCTGGCGATGAAGGCGTTTCAGCTGGTGCCGCCGGCGGCCAGGCTGCAGGGCGGGTTTCGCTGGTGGACGCTGCTGCTTCATCCAGAGGAGCTGCTGGTGCCCAGCAAGACTGGCGAGCTGGGCGACTCGCTGCCGCTGGGCGCGCCCGAGCTCCAATGGCTTACCCCCGCGCTCAGGAATCTGAAGGCCCGGTTGGAGCCCCGCGAGCCGCTGTGGAGTTTCGGCTACGCGCAGCTGCGCGAGGAGCTCGAGAACGCGCTGGCGGCGCTGGGACTTCAAAGCCTCGGCGCCACGCTGCGCTGCCGACGGCGCGGAGGAGCAAGCCACGATCGAATCGTGGGAAGACGGTCGCTCGAGGAGGTGGCCAAGAGAGGCAGGTGGCGAGCTCGCCTGTCCGTGCGGAGGTACGAGAAGCACGGCCGCCTGGCGCTGCAAGTGGCGAAGGTGCCGCCCGTGGTGCAGGAGCGGCTGCGACTCAGCATGCAGAGGCTGCCGCAGCTGTTCGCCAGCTGCTCAACGCGACGCTCCACAGGGTGCGCCTGGGGCGAGATAGGGTCGCCGTCGAGGTCTTCGCTGGGTCAGGCCGCCTCGCCTCGGCGCTTCGTGCCAGAGGAATCCCCACGGTCGAGTGGGACATCACTCGAGGAGCGCAGTTTGATCCCACCAAGGCGTCCAGTGTCGAAGTTCTGAAAGGATGGATTCTCAGTGGTGAGGTGAGCATCTTGTGGTGAGGAACCCCGTGCACTTCTTTCTCGTTGGCCCGTAGGTACATCAAGTCTGGGCCAGGACCTTGAGGTCCAAAGAGTTTCCTCTTGGACTGCCGGGCCTCTCCGGTCCCGATCAAATGCGAGTGCAGTTGGGTAACCGTTTGATGCGTGTCTCTGTTGTGCTTGCTAAGCTAGCTCGCACCAGAGGGATCCCTGGAGGGCTCGAGAATCCCGCTTTTTCTCGTCTTTGGCTGTGTCCGCCTGTGCTAGGTCTCGGTAGGCTCCCCAATGTTCCACGATGTTTTCGCGGACTTTTGTATGTGGGGTGAGCCGTGGCGTAAACGAACACGGCTTCGCCTCTGGCACGTTTCTCCGGAGCTTCTTGGGCGAAAGTGCCACGGTAAAGGCATTTGTGAGAGGTCCCAGAGGCCTCACCAAGTGCTAGAGGGCAAGGCCCCCGGTGGCCAGTTTTGGACGGCAGTAGCACAGCCTTACCCCAAGGCGCTGTGCAAGATCCTTGCCACGTCTCTTGTAGATGCGTCAAATAATCGTAGGCTCTCTCGGTTGTGGGAAATTTGTAAATGCTAGGCGGTATTACCAGTACACTAATGAATCTGGACGTGAATATGGCCCAGAGTTTTTTACTTGTTCGATGCTGCTGCGTTCTGTTGTCACTGTTGCCGATGCTTCACCCCAGCGCCCTCTCAAGCTTGCGCTGGAGAAAAATAGAAGGCCTTGGAGATAGTTTATCGGGTTGGCCTGTCAATTTGATGATCCGCGACCGTTGGCTCTAATCAGCCGCGCGAGCCGCCCGACCCTCCCTCCCTTCTCTGCTCCTCCGCCTTTCAATCCCACACGAATTCAGAATTTAACAGGCCCAGAGTTTTTTACTTGTTCGATGCTGCTGCGTTTTGTTGTCACTGTTGCCGATGCCTCGCCCCAGCGCCCTCTCAAGCTTGTGCTGGAGAAAAATAGAAGGCCCTCATGGGGCCATCTTGGAGGCCTCGTGGACGATCTTGCGGCGATCTTGAGGGCCTCCTGGGCCGTCTGGGGCCGTCGGAACGCCGAGAAGAAGCAAAACCCTAAGGAAAATCAGCGATTTTGGCCTCTTCGGGCCCTCCTAGAGGGCCTCTTGGGGGCCTTTTGGGCCGTCTTCGAGGCTTCTTGGGCGAACTTGGACGTATCTGGCACCCTCTTGGGCCGTCTGGGAGGCCGTCTTGGACCATCTTGGGCAAGCTTGAGGGCCATCTTGGCCGTCTTGGAGGCCATCTTGAGCCGTCTTGGCGAATTTTTTGCGGACGTTGAGGTCGTTTGCGGGCCTGGAGCTCCCTCCCCGGGACCCCGACGGAACGCGCCGGAACCCCAGGGGAAGCTCTTTTGGAAACACGCCAGGCACCCCTGCGATGAATCGACAGGGGACGGCGGATCCGCGTGGCCTTCAGCCCATCCCGCCACCGTACCTGGGTTGTGGGTCTGAGGCCTCTTGTATATGTGTTGGGTGTCGCGGGGAGCCTCTCGGGGGCCTCTTGGAGGCGGTTTGGGCGCCTCTTGGGGATCTCTTGGGGCCTCGTGTGGTATCTTTCGGGCCTCTTGGAGGCCTCTTGGGCGTGTCTTCGGCGCCTCTTGGGGCCTCTTGGCGGCCTGTTGGGACCTTCTGGGGGCTTCTCGGGGCACGAACATCGAATGCTCGGTTTTGCTTGGGCCCCTCTTGGTGCCGTCTTGGGGCCCTCTTGGGCCGTCTTGAGCGCTTCTTGGTCCATCTTGGATCCCTCTTGGGCCGTCTTGGGACTCTCTTGGAGGCGTCTTGGGCTGTCTTGGGGCGGTCTGTCTCTTGGAGCGTCTTGGGAGCGTCGGAAAGCCGAAAATGCGAGAAGGCCAACATCCTCCAAACACCTTCGTAAACTCCACGATGTTGGTCTCTTGGGCCTCTCTCGGGAGGCCTCTTGGAGCGCTCTTCGGGCCTCTTTGGGCCCTCTTGAGCCGTCTTGGAACCATCTGCGGGCACCTTGGAGCACTCTTGGCCTCGGCAATGCGAATATGGCGTAAGTTGCAAGGGTGTATGGTTTCGGGGACGCGAGCATTGTATAATGTACGGAGGTTCGTTGCCTTCAGGACGCAACACTTGCTTACTTTACGAAGGGTTGGCGGCCTCGGAGACGCGAACATTGCGTAACTTACGAAAGATTATATTATGGCCTCGGGAGCGCGAATCTCACGTCGTTTTACATGTCCCACGCCTCCCCAGGAATCCAGGCAATGCGATCGGGGCGTGGTAAAAAGCCCGTGTGGGCCCCCCCCCCCCCCCCTCTCGCGCGGGCCTCAACCATTTACAATTGTAGGCATAAAGCAGGACTGTAACAGTGGAGACTCGAAACTGCAACTGGTGCAGGGAGCAGCACACCTCGGCCTACAGCCTGGTGGCCCCACACATGGGGGCCTGCGGATTTGACCTTGGAATCTTGCCATGCCTAGCTTGCGCTACCACTCTGCACGCTCGCCTGGTCCAACGCTTGAAGACCACCCCAGATCGCGCTCAGACTGTGACGGGCAGCACGCGATGCGAGCGGGGAGCGCCAGCCAGCGCAGTCCGCAGTGCGAGATCCGATGCCAACAGCCTGCTCTGGGGTCTGTTGACGGGGAGGTGCATGGCAGAAAGCTCGTCGCACAAGTTTTTGGCGGCCCAAGGCGAAGCCTCAAGCACACGACCTTGGGAGCCAACTCTGTGCAACCCAGAATCATCAGCAACCGCTCCAAACTGAACCTCACGATCGGTTCTGAGGGGAAGCATGGCTTGCACCTTATCGAGGTGACTGAGAAACACCATCTGCAAGCACAGCGTGGCAAACAGGCAACCGACAAGCACAGCCTGCTGCGTGCAGATGGGCGTCGAACTGACTCCAGCATACTCAAGCACACGCAGCGAGCGATACAGGCTGACCAGCAACCTGAGCTGACGCAGCGGGGAGCCAGAATTTCGAGTCGCCTCCGCCCACACGCCGCGCCTGATAGTCTCGAAAGCTTTCTGGGGGTCGAGCAAGGCCGTTCCCGAGGAACGCTCCCTATTGAGGGCCCATTCTCAGTAGGCCTCCTGTGCCCAGACCAGGCGTTCGGACCCGTTCCCCGACGTCGGCCACCCAAGCTCCCGCAAGTTAGCTTCCTGCCAACGTCTGGGCAGCGGCCGACGACGCCCGCGCTGACCTCTGGCGGCCACGCGCCGCAGCGCGATGGGCCTAAATGCGCCTCCGCCACGCCTCGGGAGGAAGCCGATCTTGGACCACATGTCTGGCCGAGCGTACGTGCGCTCTGTGAGTAGAGAAACTTGCCTGAAAAACATCATAGCCCTTGTTCTGCCAGCTCGAGCAACTGCCTCGGGGTTGCCCGATCAAAGCCCGATCCGCTCGCAGCTCCGACACCTCGTGAGGCAGTCTCGCAGGCCGGCAATCGAGAAATGTGGCAACTCGGGCCCCATGACAGAGGGCCACGCATAAGGATCCTCCAACTACCCCACCATCCAGTACAGTGCCGTTTTTAATACATGCTCCGCGTGCGGATCATGTATTAAAAACGCAAGGAGTTGGTATTCAAAACAGCGGTGAGTTCATGCATCAATTCCTTAATACATTAATCATGTATTAAAATCCGATGTGTATATATATATATATATATACATATATATAAGTCCTATGTCTTCAAAAACTGCCCTGTACGGACCCCCCTCCTCCTCCAGCAGTTGCATCATGCTCCCGGGATGCCAGGGCTGCGCGCGCTGCCGTCCTCCGTCAGACTAGGACTGGAACGCCATGGGATTGGGAGCTTACAGTGCTGTTTTTTACATGCTCCGCGTGCGGATCATGTATTAGACATGCAAGGATTCGGTATTAAAAACAACGATGAGTTCATGCACAAATTTATTCATAAATGAGTCATGTATTAAAGATCGCATACGGCTTAAAATCATATGTATTAAAAACTGCCCTGTACTGATAGCGGAGAGGATTCCACCACCTGGATTGTTGTGGTTGCCTTCCCACGCATTCCACCCGCGATCACGTTTCTTCCCGGCCGCGCGCTGATGGTGATCAGCAGCAGTGGACCTGGCGTCCGCACAAGGACAGGTAGCAAGGGCCCAGTCTGCGCGGTGGCCCGACGGGGGCAGCGAAGACTCAAGGAGCCTTCGACGTGCACTGGGCTGAAGCTTGGACAGCTCGTCGAGCACACTGCCGAGCGCGCGAAAAGCCAGCCTGCCGCGCAGGAGGTGCGCGGGCACGACGGCTGCGCTGGAGCGGTCTACCGCCGCCGCCTCTGCAGACGCAGCGGCCTGCTCCTGCCCGCCCTCTGCGGAACGTCAAGCTCTGCGGACCCGCCCCCCCCCCCGCCATCGCCCCGCACTTCAGTGGTCCGTTGCGCGTGCGGCGCGGTCCGCGGACGCCGACTGAACATGCGAAGCCACGCGGCTTCGGCATCGACATTGAAATTTGGGGGGTCTGCGGGCGCCAACGCGGCGCGGGGAAAAGCTTGCGTCGGGCTTCGCGGAGGGACGCAGGCAGTGCTCGCGCTGGTCGTCCGATGTCTGCTAGACCTCCAGCAGCTTCTGCCCCAGCGCGCTGACGAGGCCAGCCCAGACCACAGAGACGTCCGCCTCAGCGCTGATGAGAGCCTGCATTGGCTCCTTCCTCAGGCTGGGGGCATTGACCCAGCTGGACCAATACGCAGAAGCTGACGGGGACCGCGAACATATGCGCTACGTCGGGGAGACGAGCGATACTTCGCAGCACGAGCCTGACCGGCTTGCGTGGCCTGGTCCCGACCGGACCCAGCACGCTGACTGCCGAGTTGTACTGCAGCTTGTGCGAAACGACGAGGCAATCCAGGGCCCGCATGGCGCCCTGGATGGATGTAGTAACAGGCGCAGCTAAAACAATTGCTCTGAAACTCTTCGCCCATCCCGTGCCTCGCAACTGATCTAGGGTGACGTTCCAGCCGCTTGACGACGGGCAGACCGTCCCGACGCAGCACTTCCACAAATTTCGTAAGCATGTGCCAGTTGACTGGAGGCAAGCCTTGGGAATCGTGAAGTTAAAGGTTCACCCGCAGAACACCACCAATACGTACTGCTGCATAGTGAAGAACATCCATGCGAGCTTGCAACAACTTTAACTCCTGCCTTGGAAGCTCTGATAGCCCAAGACCTGTATGCACCATCTGGAGAAGACCGACTGTGGTGTCTCCTCCCGTACTTCTAGCTGGGAGACCTCTGACAGCCCAGCTCATGTACCTCAACCTGCTTTCCCATGCGAGCACCTGTTGGACACGATGCTCATGGAAGCCCCGACTGCCGCAATACAGGATCTCCTTTGAGCCTGGCACAGAATCGAGACCTGTTCGGCCCATGACACTGGCGATGATGGAACTCCAGCTGCTGCGCTTGCTAAACTCGGGACTTGGGAGGTGCGGTACGTGCACGCTTGGAATGATGCTCCTGCACAGGTTTGAAAAGCTGCCTCGAGCACACCTTTGTGGATGTTGGGGCTGGAGCTGGAGCTGCCGCCGCCGCCCTCGTCATCCCCAGCGTCGTCCGGTCCGCCGGCGACGTCAATGCCCGGGCAGGCACCAGGTCCATGTAGTAGAATTGGCGATCGGGATCCGTATAGATACAGACACTCCAGCCGCACATGGCGGGCTGAGGCGGCTGGTCAGCAGGAGCGGAAGCCACATCAGCGCCAGCACCACCACTGCCGCTGCCTGCCTCAGCCCGCGCGCCCTCGGCTGGCGATCGAGGGCCTCCAAGCACTGGGCCTGCGGGGGGCGTTGGGGGCTGAGCAGCAAGCTTCTGAGTGATGGTCGCGACGAGCGGATGCAACTAGCTAGCCTCCTCGGGCACTCTCTGCTTGAGCACCTGAAGTAGCTGCCCCAATTGTTTGATGGGATCAGACGCACAAGATTGACCTGCAAACGCGGAGTATGCCTCGGCTGCTTTGGCAGCTGCAGCGTCGGCCTCCTGGAGTTTTCCGTGAGCTTCCTTGCATGAAGCCATGTGTGCCATTGCCTTGACCGCCGAATCCCGAGATTTATTATACTTAGCTTGGGCCTGATCGACCCTCTGACGTAATGAATCGGTCGCCTGTCGAGCTGCATCAGCTGAGGGCTCGGAAGCCCCCTGTTCCAGGCTTCTCTTGGCAAGGGCACGGCCCACCTGCTTCCGCGACCATCCTGCTGCGAGCGCGTCGAAGTTGGACTCGGGCATGCGAGCCTAGACCGCGACAAGGTCGTCCGTGTGCTGGATGATTGACTGCTAGTGCTGGCCACTCTACTGCTGCTACTGCTGCCCGCCGAACGCCGCCCTGCGCCATGGGAGGTTCCACGAGCCCACTTGCCACGAGGCTGGGGCTGCAATTCACCTCGGGGAACGCCAGTGGGCACGAAAACGCAGACTCGACATGAGGTGCGCCATCCGTAGTTCCCTCGGTACCCGCAGCGTTTGCCGGGGCACGCTCACACGGAGAAGCCCTCCGCCGCAGAGTGCAGACAGTGCAGCAGCGAAGAGTAGAGCGTGCGCAAACCTGAAAGTGGTGGGGGCCGCGACCTCTCCAGGCCACAATGCCAAGTACTCGAGCAATGCCTCCGGACTTGAACCAAAATGGCTACGGACCACCCGCCCCTCCTCGTCGTCCTCCTCTCCGTTGTCCTGCTCCTCCTCCTCCTCCTCCTCCTCCTCGTTCTCCTGCTGCTGCTCCTCCCCCTTCTCCCGGAGAAGAAGTCGCAGGCGAGAGCAGCCAGCGCGGATCGGCGATCCCGGCCCAGCAGGACGCGGAAGGGCAGTGCCTGGGGCTGGAGCTGGGGAGCGCCGCGCGCTACTCAGGAGGGCGCCCCCCCTGCTGCTTGCTGGTCTGCATCAGGGCCACGCAGGAGCAAGATCGAAGAGGAAGAGTGAGGACGGGAAAGGAGGAGGAGGGGGTGGACTGCGGAGGATGGAGGAGAACGGAGGAGGGGGAGGACGGAGGAGGAGGAGGAGGCAGAGAGGAGGAGGAGGAGGAGTAGGAGAAGGAGGAGGAGGAGGAGGAGGACGGAGAACGGAGGACAACGGAGGAGAACGGAGGAGGACGGAGGAGGACGGGGGAGGACGGAGGACGAGGACGAGGACGACGACGGAGGAGGAGGAGGGAGGAGGAGCAGGAGGAGTATGGTTGACGTCGTGTTCGTTGCGGAGGTATTGCAGGGATTCTGGAGGGCCTCGTCGCCACGCATGGACGCAGCCCCAACAAAATGCCAAGAATCACTTCCTCAGGGGTCTTGAGCCAGATGCTGGGGATCTGCGCCTTGGGCAGGGCGCGCGCCGGTGTTGGCCAGATCGGGGGCCCCGGGGAGGCCAGAAACGTTGCTGGTACCTCTTTTGGCCCCGCTCTCCCTCC